TTTAGTTTAGTAAAAGGGGAGTTAAAAGTTCAAGAGGGGGATAGGAGGCTATAGATAATTAGCTTATATTAGTGTATGATTGTCAAATGTTATACCCTGTATTTTGCTCTGGGAAGTGTGGCGGGGGGAGGGAGGGGAAGGGGAGGGTTGGAAGGGGAGGACGGTGGGGGAAGGGGAAATGTCTGTAAAACTTTTAAAAACTTTTCAATAAAAAAAAAAGAAAAAAAAAGAAAACTGGGTAATGAACAGTGACCCAGTGGCAGTGATTCTTTCCCTTGGCAACTTTAACGTAGGTGGACTTCAACTCCCAGAATCCCCCAGCCAGCCAGCCTGTTACTGTTATTAAAATTACAAAATCAGAAAGGTTAAAGGTATCCTAGACACCTAATCAAACCCTTGCTGAGTGCAGGATCCACAAATAATAAACCATTGTTATTATTTCAATTACTCTTCCAATGACATGTTCATCGGACGCTCAGGGGGTTTGTGAAAGTGAGACAATCCTTACAATTTGGGTGCGTGTGGGTGTGTGTGTGTTAGGTTTTAGTGGACTTTTTAGGGCAATTAAGGCTGCCAGTTTGAGTTTCTGGGGTTTCCTTCTGCTGGTGAGTTTAAAAGTTTACATATTTTACATTGTAAGCTACCCAGAGTCATTTAGGAGTGATTGGCGTATGTATCCTGTAAAATAAATAAATAAAGTGAATAAGACAGCCAGTAACTATTTTAAAAGATACACACATTTTAGTTCTCTAAACTAGATTAAATTGAAAAGCTCTGGCAACCCAGGAGAGGATGTCCCATTTCAACCCCATGCGGAGTTAAATCAAAAGAGGGGGGGTGGGACCCCCACTGTGGGAAGGAGTTGAGAGAGAGTAAGAGGACAGGAGCATGGGGAGGAGAGAGAGGGAGAACTATAAGAGGCGAAGAGAGGCATAAAGAAAAACATACATGGATACATAACAGGGAGGGAGGGAGGGAGGAAGATGATAGGGAGAGAGAGAAGGAAGGAGGGAAAGAAGAAAGAAAGAATCAATTCCACAAGGATTTTCAAAAATGGAAGAGTGGTGGGTTAACCAATTAACGAAGAGCAATTGATCCGGGGTGGATCGGCTTGCCTTCAGAAGTTGTGGATGCTCCATCACAGGAGGCTTTTTTCAGAAGAGATTGGACAGCGAAATGGCCCAGGGTCTCCGGCTGAGCGAGAGGTTGGACTAGGAGACCCTTCAAGGTCTCTCTTCTCTTATTCTTGTTATGTCCCTGTGAACTTTTGCCTCATTCTTCACGGCCAGGCTGAGAGCGAGGGTCCTCCTTCCTCCTCCCACTTCCCCCCGTGGCAAATCAAATAAATGTCCTCGGAAATCAGTCTCATTTATTTCATAGAACAGCCTTTCAGATGCAAACGTGATGCATTGACTGGAATCCCGAGAGGCATCGACTGCCTCAGTGCTCTATCCGTAAAAACGCAGCAGCCAGAAGCTGATGCCCCCCCCCCCCGCCCCCGGCCAGCTTTCAAAATGAAATTTACAAGTGTCCCAAGGACATTGTGGGGAAAGGCCAAGGGCGATGACAAAACAGAGGTGGACAAGAGAGGGGGGAGGGGTTCACAGCAATTCAATCAGAGCCTGGCCTTAGCTTTAGATGAGGCTGGGTAGGGGGAGAGAAAGGGGAGGGTTAGGGTCTCCCCCGTTGACCGCTCTTCAGATTAAATTGATGGAAGTCGTATTGGCATGGAGGCATGGAAGGAGAACATCCTTGCCAGGGAATGCCAGGGAAGAGAAGTCGTCAGAGCTGGAGGATTGGGGCAGATGGGGAGCCGAAGAGGGAACTGGGTAGGAGGTGATAAGAGAAGGTCTGGGAAAAGATGGAAAAGAAAGGAGGGGCAGAATTTAATGGAAGGCTCCTTTTTTGGGGGCATTTTGTAATGGGAGGAGCTGTCTGAATTAAAACGGAGGATGCCGGAAAGCAGGGGGGTGGGGGGTGGAGAAAGACCAAAGAGAAATATGAAAGCAGGAAAATAATGGGAGGGAGGGAGGGAGGGAGGAAAGAGAGGGAAGGAGAGGGAGAGGGAGAGGGAGAGGGAGAGGAAGGAAGGAAGGAAGGAAGGAAGGAAGGAAGGAAGGAAGGAAGGAAGGAAGGAAGGAGGGAAGGAAGGAAGGAATTCTAATTTTTATTTCTTGTTAACTTGAACGAGACTCCAAAGCAAGACACACAGAATTTCAGTCCGAATATAATCACGTGATTTTTTTGGCAATTACCAGCGGAAAACAAGCCAGCTGAAAGCAAGTGTCAAACTCAAGTCCGGGGGGCCGGATCCAGCCCACGGGTGCTTAGATCTGGCCCGCAAGGTAGGGGTGCTATTCAGCAGGTTCTGACAGGTTCTGGAGAACCGGTAGCGGAAATTTTGAGTATAGTTCGGAGAACCGGCAAATACCGCCTCTGGCTGGGGGAATGGGGATTTTGCAGTATCCTTCCCCCAGGAGTGGGGAGGGAAAGGGGATTTTGCAGTATCCTTCCCCCAGGAGTGGAGTGGGAATGGGGATTTTGCAGTATCCTTCCCCCAGGAGTGGAGTGGGAATGGAGATTTTCCAGTATCCTTCACCCAGGACTGGGGAGGGAATGGGGATTTTATAATAAAAAATGTTGAATCCCATCACTGCAAAGAACCGTCCCATCCTAAATAAGAACAGAGAGAAAATCGGTCACATTTAAAATAATTCATTTTGGTAATCTTCATTTCTTCTCTGAGGTTGACCCTGATGTGGTCGAGATATTTCCTGCAGAAGACGGAGGTGTCACTATCTTCCAAGAAACTCTCATTCCAAACAAGGTCAACGAGTCCCTTTTATGAAGCATAATTAAAAAGATAGCATCACCCACGCCTTCCAAAATAAACTGATAAAAATCTAATCAAGTCCGGTACTCCTAGCGCATTGAGTTGCGAAGTGCGGAGAAGTATTTAAATCTATCTTTCTCAATCTAAATTGGGTGGACTTCAATTCTCAGAATCTCACCAACTTTAAAGAGGCCGAGATTGTGAAACATGGATTTAAAAGTATATGGTTGAACCGCCAGCATTAAGTATGGAAGCATTTCATGTCCCCACCTAAAATAGCACTGAAATTTCTATGTACAAAAAAATATATATGAAGAAGGCTATTATCTAGAGTCTGGGAAAGACTGAGGCAGGGGTGAAATGCTCCTGGTTCGGACCGGTTCGTCTGAACCGGTAGCCTTGGTGGCTGGTGGTTCAGAGAACCGGTAGCGATGGCGGTGTGAGGCCGGTCGTCGTTACTTCCTGATTTTAACCAGGAAGTAACCTGTTTTTTACCCTCTGCGCATGCTCAGAAGGGTTTGCGCGTGCGCAGATGGTCCACGCGGGCATGTGACATGCGTGTGCACTTCCGAACTCAGTGGGAAGGTAAGTAGATTTCACTCCTGGACTGAGGGCAAAAGAAGAAGGGGATGACAGAGAACGAGGTGGTTGGATGGAGTCAATGAACCAATCGGCATGAGCTTAAATGGACTCCGGGGCAGGGGTGAACTCCAGCAGGTTCTGACAGGTTCTGGAGAACCGGTAGCGGAAATTTTGACAAGTTCAGAGAACCAGCAGCGGAAATTTCGAGCAGTTCGGAGAACCGGCAAATACCACCTCTGGCTGGCCCCAGAGTGGAGTGGGAATGGAGATTTTGTAATGTCCTTCTCCCAGGAGTGGGGAGGGAATGGGGATTTTGCAATATCCTTCCCCCAGGAGGGGGGAGAGAATGAGGATTTTATTTATTTATTTATTTATTAGTTTGATTTATATGCTGCCCTTCTCCGGAGACTCAGGGCGACTTACAATGCTTTTAAGCAATTAACCAGGAGTGGGGAGGGGATGGAGATTTTGCAGTATCCTTCCCCTGCCACGCCCACCAAGCCATGCTCACAGAACCCGTAGTAAAAAAATTTGGATTTCACCACTGCTCCGGGGGATGGTAGAGGACAGGAAGGCCTGGAGGAACGTTGTCCATGGGGGTCGCGATGGGTCAGACACGACTTCGCAACTAACAACAACAACATTCAGTCCAGTTGCATGGAGGTAGATACAGTGGCGAGATGGCAGTTGGGAATGCAGGGTTGCTAAGGACCTTGACAGAAATTCTCTTTGAAGGTGCAGGACAAGAACGGGCACATAGGTTGCCCTTTCAACTGAAAAATTTGGACTGGCTCCTGTTGAAAAGATGCCAAGCATAGTGACGCACACCTTCCAAAATGAGGAGGCCTTCTGCCAAACCCCACCCTCCACCCCCACCACCAAAATTTCACGCTCAAAAGAGAAGGATTGAGTTTCCCAATTTCATACTTGACCTACCGAAACAAAAACAAAAAAACCGCAAGGCGTGAAAATCCACCTGTTCGGACAGAGAACCAGCAAGGAAAAGAGACCACGGAAGGTGGAAATTATGTTTGCAGGTGAATTTAGGGGTGACTCCATTCCTCAGAAGTCCTCGGGCTTAACAAGTGGTGGGATTCAGCCGGTTCAGGCCGGTTCAGGTGAACCAGTAGTTAAATTGCTGGTTGGCCCCGCCCCGCCCCGCCCCGCCCCTTCCAGGAGTCCTCATGTGCCCCATTGTAGCTCCCAGGTAAGTGCAAGGAGGCCTACTAGGCCCAAAATGGGGCACGAGGGGTTGCAGCTCGCCCCACCCCTGTAGCCCATTTTCACTCCCAAGAGGCTTCAGGTCACTTGGCCTTATTTTTTGGGGTGGTGTTATTATTTTGGGGCATGTGGAGCAAGATGGGGCTTCTCCTGCCGTCTTGCCTGATTTCCAGCTCTGTCTCCCTAACTCTAACCAGAGGAAATGGCGAGGACCGGCTGCCCATGTGTTTAATATTTTTGGGGAGGGCTTATTTTTAGCAAAAGCCCAATCGGGCTTATTATCCAGGGAGGTCTTATTTTGGGGAAAACATGGCAGAACTATATTGCTCTGACCTAGGCTTCCTGAGTCAGTAAAACACACGAGTAGTCCGAAAAACCTCTTTTATTGCAAAAGCTGTGAATTCTGTTCATTCACAGATGAGTCCCAAATAGTTGTAAAGCGTCCTTCGGGATAATCACCCACCTTGATCTCCCTTGACACGCTGCCAAAGACCTCATTGGCAAAGCCACACGGAGTCCAGAATCAAACAGAGCTTCAGGCTTTAAAATGAACAGAATTAACAACGTTGCTTCCTGCAAAGGCCCACGTGCCTTTGCTCCTCTTTTAAGTCTTATGGGAGAGGCCAATCATCTCCAAGCCTTACTCCCAAGTCGTCCCTTTTGTTTTAACTGTTCTTGCCTTCTGACAGCTCTGTGCATGCACTCACTAGGAAGAGGCTCCTCCTGTTCCTCTGCCTCGCTGAGGTCAGACTCTGGAGGCTCCGGAGGCAGCACGTACCTCCCAGATAGCCCTTTCTCTGCCTCCGACGCAGAACCCTCGTTTGAACCTTCCCCAGACTCCAGGACTGGCCCATCGTCCTCCGCAGCCTCTTCACTGTCCAACTCTGCTGCCAGTTCCGCAGGCCTCTGGCGCATCACAACATATATAAACTTTTTTGGAGGTTTACAGGCTATCAAAAAATGATGGACGGTGATGGTTTTCCATGAAACAGAGATGTGTTTTGCATTAAGAATAATCACAGTATTGTTCTTAAAATGCAACGGGCAGTATGTTCCGAAGATACAATCAACCTGGGCTCCTGAGAGCATGAATGAGAACGGCATGTCATAAATAAATATCTTTTTTTATATATATAAAAAAAATAGAATAACAGCTCCATCTGAAAATGGTTTGCACGTTACTATACACCGGCAGCATTCCTAATCCTCTGGAAATTAATAGCTTACAGAAATAGAATTGGCAAAATCGGAGGCTTCCTCCACGGACGAAGAGATCCCTTTGCTTTGCTTGATCACGGAATCCGATCTTAGCTCATTTTACTCTTTGGAGGAACATTTTCAATTCTTTGGTGGATCGCAGAGTAGACTGAGCAACCGTTAAGGTGGTTCTAGCAAGCAAACAGAATGCAGAGAATTTTTAGAAACAGTTTAGAAATTCACGAAATTTAGAGAATCTATATATATAAAAGTGAAAACCACTCAGACCATAATCACAAAATCTCCAGGACCATTAAGCCTACAAACTTGAAATTTGCCACGTATGTTCCTCTTAGCTTCTAGATGCTCACTAAGAAAGGATTTTTCAAAATGACCATCAGAGCATTAGTATTTCCTATATTATTATGATTAACATGCTCTGATGCTAAGGAGTTGTACTCCCGCTCCCCATCTCAAAAGAAATCTGTTCCCAATGCAAAACACAAGCAGAGGAGAGGAGTTTCATTTTCAGTTTTACTTTCACAGAAGCAAGCAGTTTTATTGCAGAACAGTTGAGCTAAGCAAGGCCCAGCCTCCTTCCTGTCTCCTTCTTGCTCACACAGCAAAGACTGTTTGAGTTTCCAAATACCCCTCAACTCTCTCACACACTGACAGGATGCTAGCCAGATGAATACCGATGGATGCTGTGGGCTGGGACATTCTACTCCCCCTCTGTTCCAACTGACAGTTGCATTATATTAACACACTCTGATGCTACGGAGTTACACATTCTACATTAAGTTTCAGGCTGCAAGTGTCAATTCATCAAGCCCGAGCACATAGTTTTGTAGCAAAGCACGGGTCATCCAGCTAGTAACAGAATAACAGAATAACAGAGTTGGAAGGGACCTTGGAGGTCCTCTAGTCCAACCTCCTGCTTAGGCTAGAAACCCTACACCTCTTCAGACAAATGGTTATCCACCATCTTCTTAAAAACTTCCAGTGTTGGAGCATTCACAAATTCTGGAGGCAAGTCGTTCCACTGATTAATTCCACTGACATTGAAGGGAGGAAATATGCAAAAAGTCATAATATCCTGATTAGGTTGGGAATTAGACAATTGTGTTGACAAGGAAGGTAGAGGAGACTGAAGGACCGTTTCTGGAGTTTTGATATGGAGAATCGACCTAGGCATTCTGAATGGGCCTTCTAGGACAGGGGTCAGCAACCTGCGGTTCTAGAGCCACATGTGGCTCTTTCACCCCTCTGCTGCGGCTCCCTGTCGCTCAAAATATCACTCACAGCTGCCAATGTGTGACACTTGCTGGCACACGATTTATTGAGCTTTTCAATAACCACGGATAAATCCAAGAAAAAAGAAAAGTTTCAGAAGAAAACAGAACGTTTAATTCAACTACAGATGCTAGTTTTGTGGCCGCTCAATAAATAGTCAGGTACAAGAAGGTTTTTGTGGCTCCCGGTGTTTTCTTTTCTGTGGGAAATGGGTCCAAATGACTCTTTGAGTGTTTAAGGTTGCAGACCCCTGTTCTAGGACAACTCGCCGTGGACTCCAGAGGATGGTGGAGGACAGGAAGGCCTGGAGGAACATTGTCCCTGGGGGGGTCGCGATGGATCAGACACAACTTCGCAACTAACAACATTGATGTGGGAATTTCATGAGTTGATTGAATGTAATAATGTAATAATAATGTTCAATCTGATCAGTTTTGTTTGTACTGGAATGTATGGCGCCCAGCAGGGGTGAAATTTTTCCCTACCAGTTCTGTGGGCGCGGCTTGGTGGGCGTGGCAGGGGAAGGATACTGCAAAATCCCCATTCCCTCCCCACTCCTGGGGGAAGGATATTGCAAAATCTTCATTCCCAACCCCACTCTGGGGCCAGCCAGAGATGATATTTGCCTGTTCTCCGAACTGCTCAAAATTTCCGCTACCGGTTCTCCAGAACCTGTCGGAACCTGCTGGATTTCACGCCTGGCGCCCAGGTGCCACACCTGTTCACCCATTGATTGGACATTTTTATTAAAAAATTAAAAAAAACTTTAAATAAATAAATAAAAAGAAACGTGTATGTGTAGTGTAGCGAGAACGGAATGGAGAATAACCATGGCTCAGTTAAACAGCAGTTAAACAAGATTTTTTTTTTTTCCTGGAGAAAGTCCATATGGAATCCACTCCAGGGACGAATCTGCAGCCGGCAAAATCCCTGTCTCTCATTCCATCAGCTCTTGCCTTGTGCATTTTCTCATGAGTCTCTCCTGGGTCTAAAAGACTGGGGAAAAAATTGCGGGATCTTTTTCAGGCATGAGCTGGAGAGCCCCAGGCTCCGAAAAACCAGAGTGGAGGCCAGATAGGCGCGTTGCTACAAGCTGGAGAGGCGGTGCGTAGCGGGCCCTTAGGGGTGAGGAGAATCCATTCATCTCTTCCTTCCTTTCCCCCCGTCATGAAAAAGGTGATTTTCCTAGCCCGAATTCCTGGGGCATCTGGATAACATCTGTCAACAAGGGTGGAGAAGAGAGGCGGGGAAGCCAGCCCCCCCCGCCTTTCCTTCCCCCCACCAAGTGGCAGACTCGTTGAGGTTGGCTTGAGGGCCAAGTGGCTGCAAGTTCAGGAGATCTTCCAGCCTCAGGTGTCGTTGTGCTACTAAGAAGGACAGGAGTTGATGGGAAGGTGGAACTCTAGCTTTCCGAGGAGAAGCAAGGGGCACAAGTAAGGGTCAAAAGAAAAAAAAAAACTGGAGTTGGGAACAGGAGGAGAGGGAAGGAGAGAGGGGGGGGAGAGAGGGAGACAGACAGACAGACAGCAGCAAGGGACATCAGTGAGGGTCAAAAGAAAAAAAACTAGAGTTGGGAACAGGAGGAGAAAGAGAGAGAGAGAGAAGAAGGAGAGAGAAGAAGGAGAGAGGAGACAGAGTGGGGAAGAAGGAGAGAGGGAGATAGAAGAAAGTGAGGGAGAGAGAGAGAAGAAAAAGAAAGAAAGAAGAAAGGAGAAGAGAGGGAGAGAGGGAGAAGAGAAAGGAAAGAGAGAGAGAGGGAGAGAGAAGAAAGTGAGGGAGAGAGAGAAGAAAAAGAAAGAAAGAAGAAAGGAGAAGAGAGAGAGAGAGAAGAAAGAGAAAGGAAAGAGAGAGAGAGGAGAGAGAGAGAGGAGAAGAAAGAGAAAGAAGAAAAGGAGAAGAGAGAGAAGAGAAAGAGAGAAGAAAGAGAGAAAAAAGTGAGAGAGAAAAAGAAGAAAAAGAAAGAGAAGAAAGGAGAAGAGAGAGAGAGAAGAAAGAGAGAGAGAAGAAAGAGAGAGAGAAAAGTGAGAGAGAAAGAGAAGAAAAAGAAAGAAAGAGAAAGGAGAAGAGAGAGAGAGGAGAGAGAGAGAAGAAAAAGGAGAGAGAGAGGAGAGAGAGAAAGAAAGAGAGAGAGAAAAGTGAGAGAGAAAGAGAAGAAAAAGAAAGAGAAGAAAGGAGAAGAGAGAGAAGAAAGAAAGAAAGAGAGAGAGAGAGAGACGTGCATATCTGCTGGATCTCTCCTTGCCCAGAGGGTCTTTCCAAGTTAACCTGCTCCTTTCACCTAGACTGCCTGTCTCCCCTGGTCATTTCGGAAGCCCCTAGAAGGGCTTTGGCAGTCTCACCTGGAGGGCACAGGTGAGGCATTCCAGCCTCCCAACAAAAACGGCTCTCCGGCCCTGCCACTAGAACCCTCCCTTTTAAGGAAAGCTTCCTGTGGATTATGGGGTTTCTACGAAAGTCCACCCCGTTGTTAACCCCAAACAAATGACTTTCCCCCTTAAGCTCCTTCTTGTTGTTGTTTTTAAAAAATCCACTGCAGTAGGCTTGCTCTCACTCTCTTTCTTTCTTCCCTCGCTCCCTCGCTCCTTTTTTTCTTAATCCTTCCTTTTTTTTTCTTGAGCCATCCATCTGTCCTTACTTACTTCTTTCCTTCCTCCCACTTTCCCTCTGCTCTTTTTCTTGAGCCTTCATTCCTTCCTTCGTTCCTTTATTCCTTCCTTTCTTCTTTCTTCTTTCTTCTTGATCTTTCCTTCCTACTTCTTGTTCCTTCCTTCTTTCTTTTTCTTGATCCTTCCTTCCTTCTTTTTTGATCCTTCCTTCCTTCCTTTTTTCTTTCTTTCCTTCCTTCCTTCTTGATCTTTCCTTCCCTCTTTTTTGATCCTTCCTTCCTTCTTTCCTTCCTTCTTTCCTTCCTTCCTTCTTCTTGATCTTTCCTTCCTTCTTTCTTTTTCTTTATCCTTCCTTCCTTCTTTTTTGATCCTTCCTTCCTTTTCTTGATCCTTCCTTCCTTAATCACTCCCTCCTTTTTCTTGATCTTTCCTTCCTTCCTTCTTCTTGTTCCTTCTTTCTTTCTTTTTCTTGATCCTTCCTGCCTTCTTTTTTGATCCTTTTTTCCTTCTTCCTTCCTTCCTTTCTTTCCTTCCTTCTTCTTGATCTTTCCTTCCTTCTTCTTCCTTCCTTCCTTCTTTTTCTTGATCCTTCCTTCCTTCTTTTTTGAGCCTTCCTTCCTTTTCTTGATCCTATCTTCCTTAATCACTCCCTCCTTTTTCTTGACCCTTCCTTCTTCCCTTCCTTTCTTCCTTCCTTCCTCTCATCAAAGTAGACAAATTGGCTGATATAACTATGGAAGGCACCATTCCTAACCATTCCATACATACATCATATTCATATGATGGGAGGTGTTCTTTGTCCTGAATTAAAGGAACGATGTGGTTCTGGAGATCTACCAGATCTGGGCTGCAGAAGTCCAAGTAGATGCTAGATGGCAGCCAAAAGACACCAATTTTTTGCCCCCAGATCTGGGATCCAGTACTATCACACCTCAATCCTCAAAGACAAGGATGTTCACCTTGCAGGTAAAAAGAGCTGTGGAAGATGTTCTGCTAAAATGGGAATAGATGTCTTCTTGGGCTTCTTATTTTATTTCCTTCTTTATCTCATGCTGGCCTCTCATCGTTCTTCTCCATCGTCCTACTCAAGGCGTCCTCTCAGTTGGCCGCCATTAGCATTAGCCAGATGGGTCAACCGTGAGAGATGATGGGAATTTCAACCCAAGCAGCTTGGAAGATCCAGGTATTTCCATATTTTGGCATCTCTCTATCTTCTTATCCATTTATTTCTGTAAGTTCTCTCAGCTGAGAAGGCCAAAGGGGAACTGAGGAGTCTCATCCAAGGTCCTTGGAAATCCTCTATCAGCAAACCCTGCTAAGGAGTCTTTCCATCTCAACAGGATGGAAGGTTCTGGAAATGAGCTTCTATGGTGAAGGGGGGAGGGGCTGTCATCTCCAGAATTGGAGGCATGGCCTTTCCAGAGTCAATCCATTCCATTCCCTTTCACACACAGTGTTTTCTCTTCACTTTGATCCAAACTCCCCTCCCCTCCCTCCCTCTTCCTCTCTTTCTCCTTCCTCTCTTCTCCACCTTCCTTCCTCTTCCTCTTTTTCCTCTTTCCTACTCCCTACCTCCATCAGTCTCTCCTTCCTTCCCTCCCTCCTTCTTTGTCCTCCCTCTCTTCTCTACCTTCTTTCCTCTTCCTTCTCCTTTTCCTTCCTCCTACTCCCTAACTCCATCAGTCTCTCCTCACCTCCCTCCCCCTTCCCTTCCTCTTCCTCTCTTTGTCCTTCCTCTCTTCTTCACCTTCCTTCCTCTTCCTCTTTTTCCTCTTTCCTACTCCCTAACTCCATCAGTCTCTCCTTCCTTCCTTCCTTCCCTCCCTCTCTTCCCCTCTCTTCCTTCTCCTTCTCCTTCCTCCTACTCCCTACCTCCATCAGTCTCTCCTTCTTTGCTTCCTTCCTTCCCTCCCTCCCTCCTTGTCTTTCTTCCCTTATCAACCTTCCTTCCTCTTCCTTCTCCTTCTCCTCCTTCCTACTTTCTTCCCTCCTTCCCTCCTTCCTCCCTCCCTCCCTTCCCACTCCATTCTCTCTTCGCCTGGTTGTTTTCTCTCTCCACGCGCAGATATACACACACAAACACCGCAATATCCATTATCCAGAGATACCCACGATACCAGACCTCCGGACTTTTCGTCGGGCCCTAAAAACACATCTATTTCATCTAGCCAGGCTGGCTTGATCCCATCCTTTCGGTGTTAATTTGTAATTGGTTTTAACTGGGTCGTTTTAAATTGAGGGCCAAAATTATTTAATATCTTTTAAACTGCTTTTAAATTTTATATGTTATGTTTTATCTTGGCTGTTCACCGCCCTGAGTCCTGTTGGAGAAGGGCGGTATATAAATTAAATTAAATAAATAAAATGAGCCTTGGTAGTACAGTGGTTTAAAGCACCCTGTTATTAACACAGCTGCCTGCAATTACTGCAGGTTCGAATCTTACCAGGCTCAAGGTTGACTCAGCCTTCCATCCTTTCTAAGGTAGGTAAATTGAGGACCCAGTTTGTGGGGGCAATAAGCTGACTTTCTATAAAATACACAAAAGAATGAAGGCTATTGCTTAACACATTGTAAGCCGCCCTGAGTCTCTGGAGAAGGGCGGCATATAAATCAAAATTTTTTAAAAAATAAATAAATAAATTTTCAAGCCGAATCTTTGACCGTTCTCCTTGCCTTCCTGACAGGTCCTCCTGATGGTAAAACGCAGCTCAAGGTTTAAAGAGCCTTGGTAGTACAGTGGTTTAGTGCACCCTGTTATTAAGTCCAGCTGCCTGCAATTTCTGCAGGTTCGAATCTCACCAGGCTCAAGGTTGACTCAGCCTTCCATCCTTTCTAAGGTAGGTAAATTGAGGACCCGGTTTATGGGGACAACAAGCTGACTTTGTATAAAAAATATACAAAAGTATGAAGGCTATTGCTTAACGCATTGTAAGCCGCCCTGAGTCTCCAGAGAAGGGCGGCATATAAATCAAATTAAAAAAAAAAAAAAGCTTCCTGAGCGGAGGAAGGCAGCGCGTTCTTTACTCCTGGGCGACCGTGGCCACCAGGAGAAGTCCCCGTTTCCTGAGCCAGGGAAAGGAGAGAGGGAGAAAAGGGCTTGGCGAATTGACGCCTCCCCCACCCTCCAAACACCTTCCACACCAAACTCGCTTTGATATTACCTGCTCTGCAGGTCGATCAGCTCAAACCCCGACCTGGCTCCCGGACAGCCAGGCTGCGGCTGCGGCGGCGACCCGTGGCCTCGCCTCCCTTCCAACCGCCACCGAACCACCGAGCGAGAGCAACGCCTAATTAATTTCAATTTATCTCGTAACTTGTCAGGCTGAGATATTTAATCCTGCTTGGGAAAAAAAAAAAAGAGAGAGAGAGAGAGAGAGAGAGAGAGAGAGAGAGGAGAGAGAGAGAGAGAGAGAGAAGAAAACACCATTTCTCCCGGGGGAGAAAGCCGAGTGGAGAGTTTGCTTTTTCTAGGGGCCGTGATTTAATGGACGCATTAATTTAATGCTCAAACGAGAGGAGCAGCGCGGCAGGTTAAGTGACAGATCCGCGCGGGTTGCCAGAGCCTCGCCTGAACGAAAAACCGAGGCTCCCTGGCTCCGTTTCTTTCCTCTTTCCTCTTTTTCCTTCTTTCCTTCCCCCCTCCCCCTCTTTGATTGCTTTAATTACGACCCGCGCCCCCATCTTTCCTTCCGCTCTTTAATTTCCTTCCTTCTTTATCTTTCCTACTTTCTCCCTCCCTGCACAGCCCTCTAGATTCTTCTCCTTTCCCTCTTTTCCTTCCTTCCTTCCTTCCTTCCTTCCTTTTCTTTAAATCCCTGCCTTATTTCCTTTCTGCTTATTCCCTCCCTTGAGCCCTCTCACTTCTTCTCCTTTCTCTCTTTAATTTCCTTCCTTCTTTATCTTTACTACTTTCTCCCTCCCTGCACAGCCCTCTAAATTCTTTTCCTTTCCCCCTCTTCCTTCCTTCCTTCCTTCCTTCCTTCCTTCCTTCCTTTTCTTTAAATCCCTGCCTTTATTTCCTTACTGCTTACTCCCTCCCTTGAGCCCTCTCACTTCTTCTCCTTTCTCTCTTTAATTTCCTTCCTTCCTTTTTCCTAATTTCTTCTCTTTAATTTCCTTCATTAATTTCCTTCCTACTTTCTCCCTCCCTTCAACCCTCTGCCTTCTTCTCTTTTCTTTCTCTCCTTCCTTCCTTCCTTTTCTTTAAATCCTGCCTTTATTTCCTTTCTGCTTACTCCCTTCCTTCAGCCCTCTCTCTTCTTCTCCTTTCTCTCTTTAATTTCCTTCCTTCCTTCCTTTTTCCTAATCTCTTCTCTTTAATTTCCTTCCTTAATTTCCTTCCTACTTTCTCCCTCCCTCCAGCCCTCTGCCTTCTTATCCTTTCTTTCTCTCCTTCCTTCCTTCCTTCCTTCCTTTCTTCCTTCCATTTCTTTAAATCCCTGCCTTTATTTCCTTCCTGCTTACTCCCTTCCTTCAGCCCTCTCTCTTCTTCGCCTTTCTCTCTTTAATTTCCTTCCTTCCTTCCTTCTTTTTCCTAATTTCTTCTCTTTAATTTCCTTCCTTCTTACTTTCCTTCCTTCCTTAATTTCCTTCCTACTTTCTCCCTCCCTCCAACCCCCTCGCTTTCTCTCCTTTCCCGCCCTCCTTCCTTCCTTCCTTCCCTTTTCCTACCTACTTTCTATCCTTCATTTTCTTCCCTGTAATTTTCTCCGAATTTCACCCTTCCTTTTAATTTTCCAGGTATCTTCCAAACAAAATTAAAAGCCAGGCAAGCTGATCTGATTGCAGCTAGGGTCTCTCTCCCCTTCTAACCTTCCCACCATCAGCATCTTCAGGCCAACTCTTTGGCATTTGGGGGGGCCATGAAGTGGACGCTTTGCTCTCTTTTGCGTCTTTCATCCTTCTCCAGGTTGGCTCCCGAGGTTCCCCCCCCCCCGGGGCTCACTCCAGCTCCCGGCTCTCCCCGTTGCCCGCTTGCATCGCTCTTCTTTTCGGACTACCACCAAAAGGGTATTTTCTCCCTTTCCAAAGCTCCATCCAGAGAGTTTGCTCTCTTCATTGTGCAGGCATGGAAATAGAAATTAAAACAGGAAGAAACTGGAAATATCATCACATCTCTTCTCTCTCAAACCTGGTGTCTTCCGGAAGAAGTGGATATCCACTCCCATCATCCCCAGCCGAATAAATATTAATGATTCATTGAGTCCTGATGGTCAACGTCTTGATGACAAGAAGAACTGAAACTCCAGAATTTAACCGAGAGCTCTGGGGCTTTGAAATGTTATTGTAATTATTTCTAACCGAAAACCTGGAGAGAAAGTGGCCGAAGCGGAATATAATACCCAAGGGAAGCAAGGAAGGGTTGGTTCCCCTGTTAAAATAATCGCGGAAAAATCAGTTTTTTTTTTCTTTCCTGCCCCCGATTTATCAAGGTCGCCATGCCCTAAATATGAAATGCACAAATATTTCAAAGTCAGCATTTGTGCTAGACCGCAGCTCTCCCCGTCAATCTTGCAGGAAAGTGCATCCACAGAACCAGATCAATTCACGAGCCTGCCTAAATCATAACCAACCCCCACCCCCACATAACACGTGTGAATGCAACCGCTCGCTTTTAAAAACGGCCAGGTGAAGCCATTCGGTTTAATTCGCTCCCCTCCGAATCATCTACCTGGGCACCGATTAATCAATGCCAATGATCAAACCTTGAGAAAACTGCTGGCCGCCACCGCTTTTGCGGGAAGGAGGGGTGTTTTTAAGTCGTTCCTAACTCTTGGGGATCGCCTAGTTAAGTCTCTGTAGTTTGGGGAGGGGGGGGTAACAATTTGGGGGCGCGGCTTATTTGCTCTGACCTTCTTCGTCCTAGGCCAGAGATCGGCAACCTTAAACACTCAAAAGAGCCATTTGGAGCCGTTACCCACCGAAAAGAAAACACCGGGAGCCACAAAAACCTTTTGACCTCTAAAATGAACATAATACTGCATATATGGTGTTTGTTTGTTTTTACCTTTATGCTATGTATTAAAAAAAAAACGATAGCGTGTTGCATTTATGAAATCAATGACCTGCTACAGAGAAAACACATTTTTATTTCTCCATGCAACACAAACATTTTGAACTCCGAAAAAAAAAAAAAAAGATTTGTTGAAAAGCTCAATAAATCACGTGCCGGGCGGGTGTCTCACATTGGTGGTTGTGACTCATATTTTGAGCGACAGGGAGCCGCAGCAGAGGGGTGAAAGAGCCACATGTGGCTCCAGAGCCCCAGATTGCACAACCCTGTCCTAAACTGTTAGAAAAAAAAAACTGGTCGAAAGTCACCCCATTGATTCGTCCCAAAATGCTTTTTTTTTCTTCAAGAGGACTTTCTTGTGTGTTTTTTTTTTCTTTGAAGGTTTCACTTCTCATCCAAGAAGCTTCTTCCGCTCTGACCGGATGGTAGGGAATCTGGGCAGACAAATGCCTTGGGTGTCCAATCACGTTTGGCCGATAAAGAATTTTATTCTATTCTATGATCAGAGCTGAAGAAACTTCTTGGATGAGAGGTGAAAATCCAGGTGATTCCTGGATGACCGAGAATCTCCATAGACATTGACTCCTGTGTCCACCAAAGCAGGACTAGAACTCAGGGCTCCCTGCTCCAAGTCCAGCGTCTTAACCACTAGACCAAACTGTCTGCCGATGTCCCCCTGTCCTCCCTTCCCTCCCTATGTATGCATTTATTTTCCCTCTCCTTGGCAACTTCCAAGGGTGGCATCTCTTTGCAAACATTAACCCCGTCTTCATCATCCCGTTTCCATCCATGATTTAATTTCTTAAATGATTTAATTTCTTCAAACTTCTCTTTTGTTTCTCTCTCTCTCTCTCTCTCTCCCTCCCTCCCTCCCTCCCTCTCTCTCTCTTTCTCTTTCTCTCTCCTTTTCCTGGAAGCTTAAGGTGAAAAATGGAGATCACTTTGTTGTATTAAAGAAAGCTCGGATTAGATTCAGATACCTGAAGGCTTTTGCAGACCTTGAATTAAGGATATCAGGTGATTTTTTTTTATGGGCTCCTGCAGTTTTTATATGAGTTTCATGGTGGATGTTTTTTTCTGGCTGTTAATAGTTGGCATCAACTTGTTGGCACATAGTATTTGAAATCAAGACTTCACATCCCATGCTAGTCTATGCAGAAAATTAGCCTGTCTTATTACATTTAACTTTGGGGTTATGGAGCAGGAGGGGGGGAAAAAAACATTCTTTATTGGCCAAAGTGATTAGACACACAAGAAATTTGTCTCCGGAACAGAAGCTCTCAGTGTACATGCAAAACAATGAAGTAATATAATCATAAGATACCAATAGGAGAAAGTAATAGGAAAGATGAGAAGGATAATAGTAAAATAGAATAATAGTAGGATAAGGTAGAAGGATAAATAGTAAAAGGAAAATTAACTAACTTCTGAGATCTTGCTTACTTGTCTATAACTATAAAGACGTTATAAGTTTTATAAGCCAAAAGTTTTAAGATTATAGTATTCTAAAATTCTAATACAGCAGTAAAATACAAACATAGGGAGGAAAAAACGCTGGGAAATTACTGATCAAGTTATGGAGAGCCTCAACTACTTGTAGTATAAAGAATTCAGGATTCAAGATTCAAGATTCAACCTTATCCCTGTTTATTGAAATATACTCCTCTGAATTAAGTGGAACCAGTTTGTGGTTTTATAGTGATTAAAAAGTCTTGGAGGAAAAAACAAAATCAAACCATGAAGGCACCTTGGGAATAATATGCTTTCTAGACTTACTACGGGTTTACACTAACCACGAAATATTTCCCAATCTTTGCAACTTCCAAATGTGTGGACTTCAGCTCCCAGAAGTCTCAGGGATGACCAATCTGGCTGGAGAATGCTGGGTTTCCCCCCACCCCACCCCAATAATTTTATGAAAGTACATCAGTAGAACTTACACATCTACGGAACAAAGAAATATATATATAAAAAAGAAAATTAATGCATTTTTTTTAAAATAAAAAAGGAAAACCAATTCTGATTGGAGAATTCTGAGAATCAGTGCCCAGGTTGATCAACGGGCTAGTAACCCAACTCTCTGCTTTTCTCTCACTTTAAGAGTTCTGGAAAGTGTGAAGTAGCTCGCCTCCAACTCTTACGTTTCCCCAAAATACGTGATGCTGAAACTTCAAGTTGTAATTTCATTGGGACGTCTGGCTTTGTGGCTTACTTAGTTTGTTGTGCAAACCTACTCCAACTAGTTAAGGTATGTTTTACTTTATTGCACAAACTGGGGAAAAAATAATAAGTTAATGAAATAAGGAGGATAAGGAGATTGTGGGTACGCTTC